GGTATCTTCCACCAGCAGGGCAGGGCCTCAGTCAGGACAAGCCCTAAGCTTCTGATTGGTCCCGTATGTGTAGTTGTGTGGAACATGTAAGCTTTGAGTGTAAGCAAGGACTGAAAATAGGACAAGAAAGAGAAAGGAAAGATAGCGCACTGTTCGTAGCTCGATTGTTAGAGTACTGCTACGGCATTTGGGTGGTGTTGATCAAAAGTAAACAAAAACAGTAGACAACTACCGATCGGAGCAGCCGGCCACAAAAATTGTCCTTCAGACAGGGGCTGCACTCGACCTTGTAGTTAGTGTCGAAAATCTTGCCACTGTCTGTAATCGATCCCTAGGACCTTCCAGTGAGGGGCACTGCAGTAAAATCAATTGATGTCCTGAGGAACCTAGTCCAATGAATCATATGTAAACAACGCCGATACATTTCAAACAGTTTTCTTTTTCTCACAAGAGCTTCTTTTCTTGTTTTGAGATTCACTCTCTGAACAAGATGACTTACTTCCATACTATTTTATAAAGCGTTTTGGGACATGCGAATTTAGGCAAGCTATCTTAGCGGGTTGCTAATTGATGCCCTGTTGAAGCAGTCCTAGTTGCTGCTGATGATGTTCGTGATGGAGTGTTTGCTGCTGCTTGGGTAGTTGAAGCTTGTGATGTTGGTTTTGAACAAAAAAGGTTTGCTTCTGATAAAATTTGGAAACACTTTTGGATCTAAGGGGATGTTCACGTAACGACTGATTGCCTTGCATTTATGTCCCGTCCGTTGCCAGAACATAAATGGTCACTGTCAAAGATCAACGGAAAAGATACAGCGCACAGCCTGCATCATTTCATCCTATTGAATGAAATTCAAGGAGATTGAAATAAGATTAGCAGGTATAAAAAGAAAACCATGGAAAGGTAAAACAGACACACGCCCTTTTAACACGGAGCCTCTCAGTGAAGTGCGCCCAACCGCAGCATGCGCAGGGGGTGTGCGTTGCAGGAGCCGCTCCTGGCCGAGCAGAGCCCAGCGGCGACGGCGACGGCGGGGGCGACGGCGGGGGCGGGGGCGGCGCCGCCGTGGGAGCCCGTGGGCCAGCAGGGCCACGCCCCCACGTCGCTCTTGCAGCCGCTGGCCGGCTGGGTTCCCGGTGAGCGCCTTGCACAGCTCGTAATATTTATTAGTAAATGAATTTGCGGTTGATTTATATTATTTTATAGCGTTTATTGTGCATTGTTCTGTACGAAGGTCCAATTCATCATAAAGATATGTTTCTCTTTCATGCTGCCGAAGGTTTTGGCCAAGAAAAGAAGTCCACATATGTTAAAAACGCAGATGGTGCAGTATCGGGGGCGATGAGGTACATATGCAAACGTTGATATCGGACTACAATTCTGAAACACATTTATTTTTATTTCAAGAATACACGAAATAAGTTTGTATTGATTGCCTTAAGACAACTTTTATGAAATTTGGAGATCGTTCTTTGCTTTTCTTCTCGGCAGTCAATGTAACTTTACTTCTCTCCCCCACACGAAACATACATTTGTAGTGCTTTTGATTGAAAAAAATAATTGTTATCACAAAAAATAAAATTTGATTGTAATATTCAAAATCAAAAGAGGTATTGGAGGTTATATGGTGATACAAGAAACCAGAGAATTCCTTCTAGTTTCTTCTTTGCAGGTGCGTGGCGACACCAATTGCCAACATCGAGACTCTTCGGGAGCTAATATGCCCCAGGTAAATTTATACTTTAAAAGTTTGAAAACACAACTCTGAAAAACTATTTAATATGCTTGTTTTCTAAAAACATATTTGTACTGCGTTTATTCATTACCGCGTCTACCAAATTGAGCCAGTTCTGATTCAATGGAAAAGTTAACAGAGTATTTATGGAGTAGACGATACTCAGTAGTGTAGTAGAGGATAGGCAGTATGGAGTAGACGAAAGCAGCATTGCGTAGTGATATGCAAGCAAATGCCATTCCATTGAATTGTCTAAAATCAAATTTAAGAAATAATAATTTGTTTTAGTAAAAAATAAATAAAATTTGAGTTGTATATGTTATTGATCGTACTTATGTAATGTTCAAGCAATGTCAAAGATAATGAGGAGAAAGTTGAAACTCTGTTAACATTACGGTTTGTTATTGACGTTACAAACAAAATGCTATTGCTTTCGTAATTCAATAAACTCTGGTTAATTGCAGAGGCTAATCGAATTTCTTGATACATCAAAGAATACTTGCACTGTTTGAACTTTCAATTGAAATCGATTTAGAATATATTTTAATTCGAATTTCGAAGGATTGATTTTGAATAATTCGTTTATTTTTTTTAGTTTACCATTTTTATTTTGAATTATTTACATTAGTCCACTGTGTCTTATTTGGGTTAGATTTGTAAATGTAAAAGCAGTGGGAGCAGTAGATATTCTCCATTGTGAAAGCGATTCGAAGAAGTGTTCTTACGTCAAATGTGTCCAATGTAGGCGTAGTTGCGTCGTTTGCGCTCCAACAGCTCTGCATCTACGACACAGGGCGACGATCCCGCAACGCGGGTAGCTCTGCTGGCGGCCCCACCGCCCCCGCGCCCACGCGCGGCCCGCCCGCGTCATCGTGGCGGCCGAGTGCTACGACGATGTCGATCACCAACCCCAGTCCGCCGCCGCCGCCGACGCCGCCCCACACCGCCCGCCCACGCAGCTGCAGAGGCGGCGACGCCTTCCGCCGCAGCTGCTCTTGGACCCCCGGTGCCCACCCGGCGCCCGCCGCCCGCCCCCCCGACGTCGGCAGCCCCAAAGCCTGGCTCGTGGATGCGACTGAACGCGCCAGACGGGCAGTCGCCCCCGCGCCGCGCGCCGCCCTCGGCCCTTTTTTGCCCCGCCGAGCTGCCACCATTTCGTCCCCGCCGCGGAACGAGGCCCGCCGCAGGTAGGATTCGTACATTTCACTAGTATCCCGACCGACTGGCTGAAAAGTGACTCACCAGTTCGGGGCGCCCTCCATCGGTAATGCTGGAATTCAATAGCGTGTTGGCCCACCCGTAGCCTTGATACAGCTTAAACTCTCGCAGGCATGCTTTCAATCAGGTGCTGGAAGGTTCTTGGAGAATGGCAGCTCATTCTTCACGGAGTACTGCATTGAGGAGAGGTATCGATGTAAGTCGGTGAGGCCTGGCACGAAGTCAGCGTTCCAAAATATCCCAAAGATGTTCGATTGGATTCAAGTCAGGAGGCCGATGCATTACAGGGATGTTATTGTCGTGTAACCACAGGCCGTGCAGTATGGACAGATGCTCGATTGTGTTGAAAGATGCCATCGCCATTCCCGAATTGCTCTTCAACAGTGGGAAGCAAGAAGGTGTTTAAAACAACAACGTACACCTATGCCGTGCTAATGAAACACAAAACAACAAGGAGTACAATCCCCGTCCATGAAAACTACGACCACACCATATCACCATTTCGGACGCGTCCCGATACTCTTGATCACGTAGTGTATATGTATACACATCTTCAAATGCATCAGGGCACCAGACTCTCCTCCTCTCCTAATACCTCGCAAGTCTACTACTTCGCACGTTACCTGAACAATGGCCCATACTCCTTCCGGTACAGTATCCATTATACCTAATGTCGGGTCGGGAACCACCCCATTTGCTTGGCAAGATATCCCTTGGCCCATCTCTGGCTTTCTTTTCATAATAGAAGATGCCGATATACCCTACCGGGCCATCACAGCAAAGCTAGCCAATACACAGTTAAATCGAATCATTTAAATAAATAATTAAAATTCAAATAGAAACATATGTATACAATCAACTATTCTTATAAATTGAACTTCTTTAGTTCTTGATATGAGATCTGTTCCATTTTAATAATTTATCCCTTTCAAAGTTGTTTTCAAATATCTGTGCAATGTAAATGCAACGATTCTCATGTTGGAAACTAGCGTAAATAACCTGTCGTTGTCCACGAAATTATTTTTATTGCAACCATTTATTAGGTGGAGAAAGTAATATATCTGTATTGTAATTTTATTTAAGCATCCGCGATGCCGAGTTCTACTCTCCTACTCGACCCCGTTCGGTTTTGCCCCTTCGCTCCGCCCCTTTTATTCCAGAAAATTAAAGAACAAAATTGGAGCCATTTTCGAAAAAAAATTGAAAATGTCTTAAGGGATTTATATTAAGAAACCCCATAATTAAAATATCTTAAAACTCTTTGGATGGACATTAAAAGACCTTAGCCTTGTCATGTGTACCAAGTTAATTCAAATGCTTCTAATCTTCTCTAGTGACATACGCTTCCAGGCACACACCGTTCAGACATCATATTACTATACTAATACTATATTACTATTATAATAATATATACTAAATAACACTTTTTCAACACGCCGTTGGCAAAAGACAGTTTCTCATGCCAGTTTTTCGTGAGCGAAACAACCATTTTTTAAAAGCATTTTAAGTAATGGTGAGCACAATATTACGAAGCGACCGTGAAACGTTTCACATTAGTATATTAGCATTTCTAGGTTTTTCAAAAAAAATAGAAATTCTGTTTTCGAAATGGTAAAAAACTGCACTTTGCACTCAGCTGAAGTGGGAGCAGTCGCTGGGTGCCTAATCTGAATTGTAGGGTGAATGCTCTAACTTTATAAAGCCACAGCCCTTTGTTGCAATCTGGGCAGTAAGCCCAGATGCATCGAGAAGAAGCTAAACTTCATGTGATTTCACGCACCGCATCAAACTCAAGTACCCCTATCCACAAAAATGAATGAAATATTGGCTGATAACTTACAGAGTTACAACAATTAAAGATGAGACTTATTTATGACAGGCCGGAAACGTATGGAACCGATCCAACCACCATTTTCGTATCAGGAACCCTGAAAACGGATTTTATCACGTGTGTACTATGTATAACCGAGGAAAAGTGAAATAATATGAGGATACAATAAAAGGGTAGATGCTGAGATGAAACGTTACATGAAGTACTTTCCGCTTGTAGGTTCGCTCTCGTCCACGACGCACAAGGGCTGGCTCCGGATGTTCGGCGGCGGCACAACCTCGCACTCCCACTTGCCTAGCACGCAGACTCAGGTAACCCCGTTTATTTATTTCTTTCTCTCTCTTTCCTCCCATCTTCTTTTCTTTCCTTCTGATTAATTATTACTTTAATCCTCCTAGTTTTGGATTACCTTTTTATAGAAGTTAATAAACGTAGGAATGCTGATTGAATTCACTAGGTTTATAAAGGACACCAAGATGACGAACGATTAAGGATTCCAATGCTTGTGCCACAAAATATAAGTGTAGACATTTGTTTTTGTTTATGTGCGAAGCACTAAGTCTGCATCATCAACAGTTGCAGACACTTTCGAAAAGCCCCTTTGCTGTGTACAACTAGATGTAATTAGAATTTACTTATAAATAATATTAACAGTAAATTTGAGGCAAAATCTTAATTTCTGGATCTCTTATGAAAATATTGTTAACATTAGTCCTGGAATGAGACATCGTTTTTATACAACATTGTTCCGGATATTAACTTCCCTTATCATATGTCTCAGGAACAAACAGGACGTAGGACATAGTTATCAAAATTTCTATTTACACAGTTCAAAGTGTTATTCCATGTACCGTCATACGAATCGACAGGCTTGCCACGTTCTCACTATCCAAAAAGCGTCTTACATGATGGAGAGCCTTGGCGCCCTGCGAGAAATGTTGAATGTTTGCAGGAGACTCCTTCAATTGCAAAGATCATAAAATGTATGCGCACACGAGATTCTCCGCCTCCGCTATTCTATCGCTGCCTTGCCTCGCCCTGCAGAAAGTGATTGTAAACCTAAGATAGAATTTTAGAAGATGAACGGAAGTTGTAGTAACTTGTAGGCCTAGATGAAAGAATCAAGACCAAAGAAAACCTTATTATATGTCGGCTGACTTTTTTATTTTCCTCGTATTACAAAAGCTCAAAATATTACAATTTACAAAGAAAAAGAAATAACCCGTTTTTGAATGCACAAAGAGCTATCTCAGTTCCATATTTAACTAAAATATTAATGCATTTAATAACGTGTAAGGATTGCATTTACATTAATTGTTGCCTCCAGTCTTTACAGCATGGATTTCACCACTCACAGGGTGAATTGAACTTAATTCTCTTAAAAGAGCATTTTATCTTGCTGATTAGACTCGCTGTGATCTCCGATTTTTCATTGCAAAGATAGGCCCTGTATGATACATGGGGTAATATGAATGATCTTAGGATGTAACGAATTTGCTTTTTAATGTTGAAGTGCAGTCACAGCCGAAAGCTCTATTTTGACCCCATTATCATGTTGAAACATTGGTATTTGCAAGACCCTTTTCCAGCGCATTAACGAGAAATTCTTTCTTTAAAATGTGAATATATATCTTGGGTTCGATCTCACCATTACATGCAAACGACCGGGTCTTAAGGCATTCGTACACTCCCAGACTACCATGGACCCGCCATGAGGTTTCATTGTAGGAATAATATGTGTGTGGTTCAGTTCTTCATTATGAGTGCGCTGTTCCCCGTCAGAACCTCATTAAAGTTGCATTCCCATCGGAGCCTAAAATATTATTTTTGCTTTTGGCCTGAAAGTGTGACTGAATTCCAATCCATTATTTTGGTAATTTCTTTTGCAAAATTGAATCGCTCTTTGCGATTACTCGGTGGGAACACTTTCCGGACATGATACAGATTTTCCCTACAAATATTGCGCATTGTACTAGATGATACTTGAACCTAACGTTTTCTCAATTCCTTTCCCAATTTCACTGCACTAATGTTGGAGCCAGTCTCAATTTCTAGAATAAATCGTGTAACTTCATCACTGAATTTATTTGGTCTCTGTCTCTCGGAGACGACATATCACTCTTTTATGAATACAAACCTATCAATTACTGGTTACACTGAAAATGATCAGTGTCCGTTATGTCCATCTCCCATATGTGTTGGCAATTTTTGGTGAGAATTAATAATGCTTTACTCCTTACTACATCTGTGCTTCTCCGACATTCATGTAACAAAGGTTGGTAAATTTGCAATTTGCTTCATTTCGATTCATTTCTTCCACTTTACGACCACTTTCTGTGCCTAGTCTGCTCGTTATTTGTCGCGTTATATATGTATATTACATTCGTCTTTTAGGTTTTCCTTTCATATAGTATACTTAAATTTAATATAAGTTTGCTTTTAGCTTAATTCATTTATTACATCTCGTATTCTGCACAAACAAACATCCACCTTCCAATGTTAACAGTATACTACCACATTTTGCACTAACTGTAGATGTGGAAGAAGTGTGTTGGGAGAGCCTCTCTCCTCAAAATTTTAATTATAGCAAGTTCGTGACGTCCTCCACCATCAACTATTTTCAATCGTACGATAGTAGGCTCCTTAAGGTAGCTGCCAAATCCCGAGTAGCCGAGGTGCAAGGCGAACGTTCTGTTCCTTTCATGAACTCAAAATACTGACACACTGCAGTTAGGGCGCGCATCAGATGTTTTGTGCTTGACATGTAGCAAAGAATCCATCACTATTATTTGGGCTTCGGCGAGCGGTCGCTTGCTACTCGCCGAATACCGAAAGTGTAGAGACGCTTTCAGGCTTTAAAACTATTTTTATGCCAATACTCTTTTAGGTCCAAGTTCACTCTCTGCAGCTCGCTCATTTCTTAGTGGACGGCGAAGCCACGGGCTTCAGCCTTCGGTCTGTGGTTACAGAAAACAATCTTGAGCCAGTAAGATTCGTATACTTGTACCAATATTTATATTAAAAATAGTAGTGATTGGAAATACATGTAAACCCTACGCTCTCATAAACAATAGGCTGGGACGTTGCAACTTAAGCTACTACTTCAGCTGACAGCAACTTTCCAGAGGCAGTAGCGTCTGCGGCCGCTCATTATGGATCCTGTACTCTGGTAGTGTCCAGTAGTGATGTGTATTGCAGATTTCAGGTCGGCAGGAATTAAACTTCTGTTCCTGCCCGTATTACTTATAAACTTACATGTTATTGTACTACATCGTCCTTGGAACGGTATTGTGCTGTACTCTCTGCACCCATGGTACTCGCCAATGGTAAGAAAGGTTCCGTATAGATCGGTGGGAGCTACGAAGCGCTGCTGGCGCTCTGTTGCAGACACCTACCGAACACACGCTCTGCTTCTTCCCGCACGGAGAGCTCGACGCGGCAGGGTTTCCTGTAGCGCACCCCGCCTCTCTCCGCCAGCGGCGCGCGCCCGCCTAGCACCGCCGCCTCGGGCCCTTTCGCGACGGCCTTCTACGCCGCGCGCCCGTGCTTCTGCGATTTCCCTCCGCCCGCTGCTCTCTCCCTCCGCCGCACACCTCGTCGTGCAGCAGGCCCCGGAGGCCCCGCCTTCCCACTGTCCTGCCACTGCGTTGCCTCTCTTTCCCTTGGGTTCATTTTGGTTGCCCGGCGTTGATGTGCAATCGCCCTGCCGTCGCTCCTACCATCTCCCCCGCCGTCGCTCCCCGCCGTGCCGCCGCCGTCGTCCCGCCGTCGTCCCCGCCGTGGCCCCCGGACCGTGGCCCTCGCCGTCGCCCCGCCGTGCGCCCCGCCGTGCCCCTGCCGTGCCCCTCCCTAGCCCCGCCGTCGCCCCCGTCGTGGCCCGCCGCCGCCCCGGGGCGCGACTCCCCATTCGCAAGGGCAGACACGCTCTGCGCCTCGCGAGGCCTCGCCGCTGGCGCCGCGGCGGCCGACGGCAGGTGAGCGCCAAGCCCTAATTATAACTTATATTCTTAGCTTCCCGAGCGGCACTAACCACGAGCAAAAACTCACTCTTATTTTTTACTATTATTCATTCGCGTTTAAAATCGAAGGAAAATATTTGGAGTCTACTTTTATGATTATATGTTTTTTAAGCGTTATTCGCGAGAAATATTGTGAGAGATAAAATTCAAACAGCATTTTATGCACTATTTACCTTGTCGAAACGTATGTTTACCTTCATTTAGGAAGTTTTTAAAAATGAAAATCTTTGAGCACTCAAAACGAAACAATCTATGATAAATTGGTTTAAGAAAGGTCAAGAACCCAAGTTAAGAGCACAGGTTAAGAAGGATTAAGGACACAGATTCGGATTCGCACTGTATCTCTGAAAGAGGCATTTCGCAAGCTAAGTTAAATTCACAGTCCAAACGGATCAATTGTCTATTACGTGGATCTCAGGAGAACAAAACAAAAATATGAGTCAGTAAAATTTGCTCATGATTGGTTCTCACGAGTTAAGCCCTTGTTTTTCTTAGTTACTAACACATGTTTGTTTTAGAATTAAATATGAAGAAAACTATCATTGTATCAAATCAATTACATTTTCAAACGCGCAATTTATAAATATTCAAGTACACATAATGTTTACATCAACGTGTTATTTTATTACCCGTTTGAATTTCTCGAAACCATCGCGTTGTGTAATCGAAGACCACCGAAATTGTATTCTTTTGTTGCACTCTTCAAATTGTTAAAAATTATATACGTCGGGTAAATCGTGTGAATGAACGACAGTGCATCTCGACTTCGAAGATTCACTCGTACCGCGCGGCGTGCGCTAGACAGATTTCACGGAATAGAAACCGTCTGAAACAGCTGCTATTTTTGGAACGGTTCTTTCCCGATATTCGCAAGTAGACTCTGCAGCTATCGCCACAAACATTTAGCAGCTCTTAGAACACTTGTGTGACATTATTTCCGTCATTTACAAAATTGTGTTTCCTCTGTTTGATGCAAGTTGCAAGCCTTGGCACGCTACACACTTGTGATTGTTCACGCGGAAAATGCTGCACCACTGCTTCGATGAATCAATTAGAGCAAGTCCAGCGGTCGGAACTATATTCACGTCTGACGCTCTCAACATATATGGCCTGTAAATCATTACATCACAGGCTTCTTGTTTCTGTTGGAGTCTTTAATCTTATTTTGTCCTATACCCAATACTGAACCTCACTTTTATAATCGAATGTTGTAAGAAATAAATTTTTAAAAGGGTAATTATTTGGATATATGTGTATTTTTAATCAACAAACAAACAAATCCTTCACTAATTTTTTCTGTTTATCAATAAAGTGTATGGCTCTCTTTTTCATTTTCCGTTAATTGACTAGATGGGGACTGGAAGGTGCAGACTTAGAGGAAGCCATGTGGAGCAACAAGCTGCAGCACCGCCACCAAATCCGCCAGTTCGAGCGCACCAGCGAGTCGTCAGCACTGTTGATCCGCCGGGAAGCAATTCCTGCTATGTCCAGCGTAGGTAGGTTTTCACTTCATCTGAAGGTTAGGTTCGTTCAGTGGATCAATCTGCAAAAATAAGGAAGCTCACGATAATTTCTCGAGTACTTTATGGGTGTCTGAAATTTATTATATATTTTATATCAATTTTCTTAATAAAATAGGGAATATATGACGTATATTAGTAATTTTTGTCATTTGTCTTAAAATAGAATATTGTATTTAGAGCAGGAGTAATGTTGTATGAAAAAGTTTATTTTTTATCTTGAAACACTAAAGGATGCTTTCCTCATAGTAATATCTGACAGTATACATTTTTTGAAACGTGTCAAACTTTTACATGTTTAAGCAGAATTTGGAACGTAGGTTTATTATTATTTTATCATCTGAAACGATAATTGTGGTCAACTCTTAGTAATCGTTTATAATAATTAAAAGGTGAAACAAGTTATAAAATAGAATTAACAATATCGGTATCTACAATTTATGACATGTAAACCTACGTTGTTCAGTCGTTCATAAACCCTTAATATCTTCGACATCATTCTCACTAACAATTTCAGTAATCGGATTGTCCTGTCTCGATGTAAGCAACTTTGCCGTCTGAGCAGTGGGTGATGTAGGTGCTGTCAAGGACGTGTCCATGGAGCCTGAAGTGCAGCCCTTCGCTAAGCAGCTACTTAAGCTTCGCCTTCGCCGTTCGCGTCGCATCGGCCGCAGGTGCGTACATTTTGGCATAAACGTGAACATTTTGACCAATCTGATACGTTTCTTCTTTGGCGCATACTATTTTGAATCATAGCAAATGACGATGGAAATGGTCGATACATTTTTTTCAAAATACTACCATAATCTTTCGATTATTTTGCATGTGACTACTGTAGTGAGTGGTGAAGATGCGAAGAATTGTGACAATAGGTTTTATGTGTTTCTTTTAAAACGAGAGGAATTTTTAGTGCCCGAAAACTAACCACGCATGCAATAGATTGAACTAAAGGACAGATAAATAACAAAGCATGCTTAAATCAATGCGCTTGTAGTCCAGGTTTTCCTTCCTCCCCCTTATAATTCAACTGTAATAGAAATAAAGTTGCGTATTTTTACGTTAAACAAACATTTTTAATTATAAATTTTTACGTTAAACGTGATTTTTCTCTTAAGAATTGTAATATATACGTATTTTTTGACAAACTGGCACGAGATAAATAAGAATTACACACAGAAAACAAGAAAACAAGTTGGTAATTTCTTTCAGTATATTTTTGATTAAAATCTGACAACTTAATATTTATAAGCATCGTATTGTGTCTAAATAATTCAATAGTGAAGTGGCTAAATGATAATTACCTATTCCATGAAAACATTTGCTGCCAGTAAGATAGTGTAAATTGTCTTATCGTTCAAGAGCATACAAAAATGTAAGCTAGTGTAACCAGTTTTGAGGGATGCAGTGAAAAGGTTAAGTACTCAGAGCGTAGAGCTGTTGGCGCAAACGACCTTCCAGTGGAAAATTAAGCTACAAACTCACATACTATTCTAGAGTAAAGAAAGACACCTCCAAGAAGACAATAAAGGAAGTAAAAGGGGCAATGGTCAAAATTAACAACCCTAAATGACAAGAACGGAAAAGCAAAAAATATTTATTTCCTTTTTATATAATTTTATTTTATTTTTAATAATATTGAATTCTCTTTAAGTATACTTCTATAAATATTAGAATTAGCGTTTAAATTAAAACTAACTTGAGCTTTGAAATTAACCAAATTGAAGCGACATTTTTTGATAGTATGTTTATTTCCAAGTTAGCGATTCACAAGAAACAACGAAGTTGTTTGTGTTCGTGTTCTCCTTTGCAACGGGTGATCGCTGCTTAGGGCGCCGCGTGCGGTGACGGGGGCGCCGGGCTCAGCGCAGTCGGCGCTGCGCGTGGGAAGCGCCGACGGTGGCCTCGAGTCTCTGCGCGCGCAGCCGCCCGTGAAGCAAGTACGCGACTCTGGAAGGCACTGCGCGCGGTACACGAGCGGGCCTCCCTCCTCCTCCCCCTCCTCCCTCTTTCTGGCTTTCCGCTTAATCTTTCCTTTGCGAGGCTTCTTCCTTCAAGCCCGCTTCGACGAGCGACCTTCGTATAGTCTGTTTCCAAGAAAATTGATACTATATATAAAAACTCATAATTTTTAATCGCCTATTATATTGAGAAAATTATTTTGTTTCTCTTGTAAAAAATTCAGTTGGTTCGGTATATACATGAATGAACAGACGATATAAACTATAGTAAACAGACGATATAGACGATATTAAGTAAGGACAGTTTGGGAACAAGAAAGGCTAATCTTAGGATATTTTTTGGAAAATGGCAGTTTTGTTTGACATGTCGTTTTTGTCGTGTTTCGACGATAAGCATTATATGTATTTGTTGTTTATGTATTATAATGAAATATAAGATTATTTGTTGCAAACTTCATTGAAAATCCGCCAGAATGTTTAATTTTTCATTTTCCGTTTATACTTACTAATACCACATGGAAGATTTCAAATCAATAGTAGTGCGTTTATTTCAAGAGGGCTGGGTTAAAATACAATGTTTCTTCTTAAGGGCTTTGGAGGACCACCCAGTAAGATTAAAATTACAATGTACTAATGAAACATTTGTTATCATTCACTAAACAAATTCTATTAATTTTCATTTATTGGTATCATATATATTGCAAATTATAATTAATTATCCTACGAATATGAATAAATAATACATTATTATTTGTCCATTAATCTATTTAATGAAAGGAAAAAACTATTTAGGAGTAGTTTCTTTAAAATAACAAAATAAAATTCAATACATTTGTAAGTGATATTTCAAATAGTAACTCAACTACACTTGTCTTGTCAATAGTATCTATTATTACTGTAGGAAACGTACGTTTCGATATCTAGAATCTAGAATGTTCAGAAATACTGTTAAGTGTACCCAATTGGTGGGACGTTCTATGTATAAAAAACATACCTGTGAGACTTTTATATTAGTCTGGTGTAATGTCAAAGACATTTAAAAAATAGTGTTCCTATTGCATTAAGTGCATGTTAAAATTTTCCTTGTTGTTAACTACACGAGTGTTATTAAGACGTGTAAAAATCTTTAGTATCGTTTACACATAACTAAAAATTCCTTTCCGGTAACTTTTTTGTTGTACTTTACAAATGCAGAAAATTGTATGTAATTGAGTTTGGTTTTAATATAAAATTTTAGGATTCCATTGACAATCTTCAAATGAGTTCATATCTAACGGTTAGAATGAAACGGATATTCTGAAAGCCGCTATTAACTGATTCTCCTGGACTTTTCTTCATTAAAGCGATTATTTCTATCACTAAATCGCATTCCTAATATTATATGATACTAATGTGTATTTAGACTCAACTGTGATGCACTGTGCGAGACTCTTCGCAATGTAACACTCACCACCGACACCGGATCAATACCGGCGACTCCGACGAGATTCGATTCTCGACCGTTCGCCCAGGAAAGAGAGTACTCAAACTGAACACACGGTCGGCACACAAATACAAGAAAAGTACCAACATGTATATAGTACCAACATATAGTATAATATCTTTGGAGAAAATTTTGAATCTTTACGCCTTAATCAGAGCGGTATGGTAATGTTAATTAAATACATCAGATTCATTAATGAATTATACCCACTTTGAAAATGACTTTTAACATTGTGCATTTAAAAATTCCGCTTATTTAACGGTGTGCAATTTGTGAATCAATCAAATGCGTGTTTCATCGTCGCAGGTGGAAATCAGGAAAGCGGATTCAGCAGGAAATGTGCTAGCCGAGAAGCAGCAGGACGCGAGTGCCTGGCAAAACCCCGACGGGGAAGCCCAAGGCAGAAAGCGTCACGGAGTCCTCAGCTGGCTGTACCGCCGCCCCCTCACCCCTCCTTTGCTGGCCGAGGCCGATGGCAGCGCCACCACATCCGCAGGAGCTTCCACTCTCGGCTCCGCGCAGACATCCCCGAGGTCCATGTTTGGTGCGATTCGTTCACTTGCGTTCACAAGACGTTGGCACCGGATTTCAGCGGGGAAGGAACCCTGCCAACTTCCTGTATATAAAGTATACTACACTTGCAGGATTAATGGCTTCAGTAATTGACGCGCTCAGAATCAATACACACAAGAGACAAATTTCTAGCGGGTATTCGATTAAATTCTCCAGATACAGAAAATGTCCAGGTTTTTCTTACTTTTATTCTGGAAATTACTTGTCAAAGCGTCTTTTGTCCTCTCTCTCCCTTGTAACGTCACCGTGTAGAGTACAAGTATCCGTGAATGCGCCTTACAATATTTCATCACACTTGGCATTTTGATCGTATTTCAACTATTTTGTCCAATACCTGAATGACAAATGGATAATGTTCAGTATTTATTTAATCGAATACTATACACAAAACACTACTCGAGTTAATTAATTTAAATTTATTTTCTTAATTGTGACCAACATTCTTCTTTATTCAGGTCTGGGTTGCGGCGACGGAACAAAGAACGCCACTCCCTCAACTGTCGCAGGGAATGGAGTCTCCGCAACAGCGACTACTGCAATTGCATCGGGGAAAAGGGACGAAGCGAAGCAAGAACCTGCCAGCCTCTCAGATGGGAGCACAAACCCATTACCCACGTCCGGGAACGGTGACACTGGCCATACAGACACTCCGAATTATATATGTATAACCTTTACTACTGTCCCACCGTTGTCAGTGAGTGGGTACTACACCAACGAAGCTGTTCCCCCCATCTCATCAGAGAATTACGAGGCAACTACAACCCCCAACTATCTAGATGCGACGGTCACGTCAAGTGCATTTCCAACACAGCAGGGTGACCAGGCTAATGACGGCAATCCAACGGAGAATTGCGAAGATGCTCCCCTTCCAAACTTCATTGTCTCAAGCTCACCCGCATCATCGCAGTATAACTACACCATTCCATCAGAGAACTGTGACCACACGCTCACTCCTAGCTTGCCAGGTCTGAACGACACCACAAGCCTTATTATTCCATCAAACGGCAACGATTTCCAGCAATCTCCCTCCAGGGTTGGTGAAGCAAAATCAACTACCACACATCGAGCCTCTAAGAGCCGTGGCAAAACCACTACCATCACTCCAAAAGCGAAGCTGTCCAGCACCTCATGTGCAACGAGAAGCAACGATGTTGCTACCACCTCCAACGACACCGGTGCCTTCCTGACTTCCATCGCGTCCGCGAGTACACAAAGTGACGATGCGAACGGAACAATTTGCGATGTCCTTGGAAGTTCTTTGGCTGCCTCGCAGTCTACGACCAAGAGTACTGACGCGCGTGCAGGGACATCTGCATCATCGCACCCCCTGATATGTTGTGGCGACGGCAAAGAAGTTCTTGGCAGCATCGCGGACGTGGTGCTGGATGTTCCCTCTTCGCCCGCGTCGCCAGACTCGTCCACAGCAACCGCACCGCCTGCACTGGCCGTACCGCCCGCACTACCCGTACTGCCCGTACCCCCTGCACTGCCCGTGGCACCCGTACCGCTCGTACCGCCCGTACTGCCCGTACCACCCGCGCCCGCGCCAGCGCCTAGCCCCACGCTCATCGCTGCGCCCGCACTGCAGCCGCCACTGCTTTCCTTGAAGCGCCAGCTGCGAAGCGCGAGGAGCGGAACGGCAGGGCACAGGTTTGATATCGGACGCCGCACATCGCGTCCCAGCATACAGGTGTCGCTGTGTGCGGTAAAAAAGCGCGCCGTCGTCTTCTCTATTAGATGAACAGTTTAACAACTTGGTTATGCAGCGACCAATGTGATTGATTTAACTGTGTTTAGAGGGGACCGTTGGAACAACACGTAGGGACAACACAACACACACAAACATCCATTCCAGAGGCGGCATGCAAATCCGAAATCCTTCGAGGCGAGGCAGCTTCGGCTCATCAGTCTTAGAAACCTCGGCTATACAGGTCGGCAACGAATGTTTCTTATGGCATTTTGTTGAGAATAGCTACGTTTCTACATATCAGTTTCATGACGATTTCTCTTCTTCTGTAATATTCAGAAAGTATTTCAGACGGTGTGTGACGAGACGATAACACTTCTAAATATTGTCAGAGGAAAAAATATTTTTTCCAGATAGAAACGACGAAAAACAAAGTTTTGTAAATTCACGGAATATCAGTGCGACTGTCCTGTACAGATCGCAACCCTGCGATGGTACTCGACATTAGATTTTGAGCATCTAGCCCCACAGCCGACCGTCAGAATTGCAATGTAGTTTTTTGTCTGCAAATCACATTAATGACGCAACCTATAACATTGCTTCCAGTCTTGGAAAGACGCAATAAGTCGCGATGATAAAGAGTTGCGACAAACTAAAAAAAAACTACAAAAGCACTTTCTACGACTATATATGCTTTTGAAGTCAAAACTGTAAAAGCCATCAATTATTGCTAATGTGGCAAGCAATACGTTGGTGTGTTTTTTACCGCCATGAAACGACTCATCCTGTCTTTACGACAAGGATTGATTTATACTGGCATACTTTTCACTTCTAACTTTTGGCAGAGTACGGTTAGATTCTTGACAGTCTCCATGTTAATAATAATACAACGTTAAGTGTCCTCTGGATTTGATCGTTTTCCAATATGTTGCATAAAACAAAATATAAGTATCTTTTCTCGTCAGATGTTTTTCTGAGAGTGATGAGTTACCCTAATATGGGATGTGTATAAGGTAAATTTCATCGATTTGCTACGGAAAAATTGTTGTAATGAAATGTTTTCATAGCTCTTGATCGAGAAGTTAGTGAATTATAATTACCTTTAAAAAACAGAGCTGCTATAGGGGGCGGCCATCTTGACGTGTCCTGGCCCAGAGCTTATCTGCGGGCTGACGCCGAGGCCCGCTGCTTGTAGAGTGTGGCCAACGACAGTCAGCCTCAGGCGGTCGGGCGCGATCGACTCTAGTCTCGTGAAAGGCAAGTTGCAAGCGGTCTAACTGGTCCGAATTCTTGCATTTGAGCAGCCCTGTTTAAACTATACGTAGAATCTCAAAGCTGCTCCTCGTCTGTTAAGTTTTACTCTCTCGAATTTAGACTAAACTACATAGAAACGAGAACTTTCTGTTGCAGTCACATAGCATTAAAACGTACACTCTGCTACAAACTCAAAGGAAAGTACATTTGTCACATCATCGTGATTGTTCACGTGTAATAATTGTGAATGATGCGTTCTTGGTTCCTAATAATAAAGTTTGAATAAATGATTAATTTCAGAGTGAATGTAACAGTATTATGCACATAATTTACCAAATATGATTTCACATAAGATGTGTGGCATTCTGAATAAAATAAGAAGATAGAACTTCATGAACCTATCAAGTACATTTTGAAGATTGATAGGCCCGCAATACCATTTATTAACTTTCTATTTCCTATTTGTCCATGCTAAAATATTTCAGAATGGTATGATTAGAGTATGGAAGTTCGGTCAAATGCCTCTTTATTGTTTTGATTTCAAGACTATAACAAGAGGAAGTAATCGCTTAATTGTGCTTCTGAAAGAGTTTGAAAATAGTTTTATTTTCTCTATTTTATCTGCAGGTACGTATTTTAAGTACCCTGCTTTTTTCCCCTTGTTCGCAATTTTTTTCTCATGGGACCTGTTTCGGCCGAAGTGGAAACAGATTTGCAACCCTGGACGAGATGTGGGGACTGTCGCGTTTTGTCTTTCTGTGAAATCAGGCTGTCGCGTTGTCTTTCTATGCGATATCAGGCACCAAATGTCGAACACTCTCTAGGATTAGAAGTATTAACTTGTGCTTTGAAAAATCCAGACAAAACCAATTAAACTCTGAATTGTCAGTTTTGCTAACAAACTTTCTTTGACCTTTCTATGAGAAATGCTATCTCACGCTTGAGTATGACCTCTGACCTCTTTCGAGGTCAGAGATATCTGTACAAGAGACGATAGATCGCGGGTCAGTGATGACGCATACAAAAGTTTGAAGGAAAAAACTATACTAGTTTTCAATTATGAGTTTCCAGGATTCAGAATTCATACTAGCGCATCACACGGACAGCATTGCCAGAGAAACAAGTTTTTAGTCCTCATGCCGAAATTGAGTGTGCCATTAAAATAATTTTCAATAGTGAGAGATATTAGTATTATTGTACACTATTGAGTTCGTTAAAAAATGTACGAAATATCTTGTGGTTACCGTGTCACCAAAATTCCAAGTAATTTAAAGTCTCCGTTGAAGTATTGATGTAGATTTCATTGTTACAGTAAATATTTGAAAACGTTACATTATTAATAAATTATTTTAACCGCATATGTTTAAATGAAGTTACATATTTAATATATCTTTCTGGACAACTATTTTAGACAAAATAAATGCCTATGTTAATAGACTAAATTCCATTTCCTTGCATGTTTTAGGCGAAATAAATTTTTGAGCTTCTGGATCGAAGGCATGACACAGCATGGGAGGAAAAATATAACGTAGTCGATTTATATTTTCATTCGTTGTTAGCTAGGCCGTTCATTCGTATTCTTATTTTTTGTACATTTTGGTACCAAGATAAAAAACGATTATAGAAAAACCTATATAAGAGCCAAAATAAAAGAAACGATATTTCGGGAAGTGTTGAAATAATTCGCAGGAGGCATTTTCCGTTCTGCAGCCGAGTCGTAATCGCGTGTGAAACAGAGGCCGAGGGAGCTCTCTAGAAGGCGGCTCGGGGCTGGCGGGCGGCGGGGGCTCCGGCGCGCGGCCCTTCTTCAAGAAGCAGCACAAGAAGGTCGTCGACGCCGAGCCCGGCGAGGACGCCTCGTCCGCCCCGTCCCCGTCCTCGTCCCCGTCCTCATCCTCGTCCTCGTCCCCGTCTCCGGCCTCGTCCTCTCCGAACGAGTCGGCGCTCGAGGCGGAGGGCTCCGCCGCGTCGTCGAGCGCCGCTGCCAGCAAGACGTCGCCCCAGAGCGACCCGCCCACGCCGCGCTCCACCGCCTCCACTTCCACCTCCACCTCCACCACCACCACCACCTCCACTACCACGGACTCGGATTTCCTCGACGACGCCGATTTCAACATCGCTGCCGTCCATCCACCCAGTACGTACATCGCAGGCGGTAGCGGAGCGGGTTTTTTTTTCTGGGTTGGGTTGGCTACAATGGCTCAGCGGCAACGTTCTTGCACCTGCAGCGTCATTGAAAGGGGGCGGTCGTAAGCGATAAGACTCGATGGTGCGGATTTGTAACATTAGCTGAATCGAATTTAAGCACTGGAGAAGAATCCTATCGGTTGGTTGCTTTTATGGGTGGTTTTCCTCGGTTTCTCCGGCCAATGCCAGGCGAAAGAGGGAGAAGTCTCCTATGTTTTCCTCTCTCCTCTTTCACAAACTTAAACTTTCGTGTATCACACTCCCACCATTGTCAAGTCACCGTCCTTAAACTGATATTGCCGACTATATCATTTATCTGAGTCTCGCGGAAACACATAAGACACCTGCGTTGATGGCTCCGAAATCCCTTGTACATTGTTGGAAACGTTTACAATTAAGCAAAAACTGAAAGTTACAAGTTGGGTTCCAGCCGAATTATGTATCGGACAATTATCAATTTCAGAAGTGTAGTTACCCTTTGCGGCTCTCACGTGCAACCAATCTTTATAAATGAGGTCTCTAAATAAAGAGATTTTCACGGAGACGTAACGAATTGCACTGTGGACACATAATGTGTTTCATTTTCACGATACCATGAGGAAAAATTGGAACTTGTTTCAAACATCAATTGCATTGTTTTTTTATTTGATATATTATAAGTACATTGGAAGTTACCTTTAACTTAATACATTTTTAAACAAATAAAGACATTTCGTTAACCACTGTCCCTCTTAATATGGAAATGGATGGATAGGGAAAGGGGGTGGCTAACATGGGAGTGTTCTCGCACGGGTACGTTAGTAAACACATAAAAACACATAATAAAGTAAGGAAAACAATGGTTATGTTTTTGTAGACTGCACTGTGCAGTCTAATAGGAAGCTACGCCGGAAAATTGCATG